TTTTTACAGAAAAATGATCAGCTTGTCTAGTTATATGGTTGTCGTGATTACTATCAATTTGGAAAACCAAATTTAACTGAATGAATGAACAACACTTTGCCAAAACTCGTTCGTTTATTATGGATCTGAAATTTGGAATTCACTGTTCTTTGCCAATCAATGGGAGTATTTCCAAGAACCTATATAACCTCAAGAAGTTTGAGAGAATACAGCTACCTCCTCCTCCTCCTATGGTCCCTGATGAGGTCATGTCAAAATATCACCGATACATCAGTTGTGGATAATGAGCTCTATAATTGTAGAAAAGGAAACCTCACCTCATATACTTACTGCATCATAGTACAAAGCACCAGCAAACTGAATAAATGGAATTTTGGAAGGACATGAAAAAAAAGAGGATCTTCCATCAGGAGACATGTTGACCATTGGAGACACAGACAGCAACTCTGAAATGTTTTGACCTTGTTACCATTAATGTTAATTTCAAGTGTTCCAATCTGCATTCATTTCCATTAATATATTGACTTCTTTACAGTAACTTTCTGATGGTACTTAATGCTGTTATTTTTCTCTCGGTGAACAGTGAACTCTCATTATTCAATTTCTATTTTATATCTACCTTTGTCCAGCTTGATGCGAGAAAAAATGATAAGAGTGCTTGAAAACTATATAATATACACCAATCGAATTCAATAGATTTGGATGTACTGAATGTACTGAAAGTATCTATTTGGGATAAAGATATCACGAAATTCGCAATCGTGTTTTATAAAATATTATGTCAAATTTTGACATAATTCAACGAATCGGTTGTATGAGAAATGGAATTTTCGGAAATTTGGCAACATTGTTGGAGGTAGTTGCGTATGCCTCGCTCACTCATTTCGAAAGGGATTTCGTTCTAGTTGTCTCATAGGCACTAATTGCTTTGGTTCTGGCTTTTTGAAGAAAAAATAATCACATTTTCTGGCTACAGCAAGCGAAGACGTGTAAAGCATGAAAATTCGATTTATAAGCATATTATCGGTACCTGTTTATACAATGTGTTGTATGTAGCGGTCTTGGTGGTGAATCAGAACCTTTTGAGAATAATGATTATGATAATTTGAGTAGTTCCTTTTCCATAGCTTTGACACGCTGAAAACAACAGGTGTTCAGTGTTGTTGAGAGTTTCAATCAGGAAGTTTTTTATAATTTGAGGGAAAGTTTCATGAGGTCGCCTATATATATATATCAACCAAGTCCCGATTGTGTTGTCGTTTGTATTAGTTACCTATCAATAATTGTACCTATTACACGGGAAAAATTGTTTGAATCAACAAGAATTCTGAAAATTCGACAAAATCTGAGTGTCATAATTATATCCACGACAAAATATTTTGTTATTTCAACAAACTTGTCTTGTTAGTTTTCAACTCGAAATTCATTTGATATACGGCCTGTTCTAGAATACTGTTCCCACATATGGGGTTCAGCACCAAAACATACGCTGATGCTCTTAGATTCCATCCAGAGAAGAGACAATCGCCTGGTGGGTGACGCCACACTCACTCACTCTTTGACATCATTGGAACACCGTAGAAAGGTCGGCGACCTTTCACTCTTCTATCGATACTTCCACGGGAAATGTTCTTCGGAAATCTCTGCTATCATCCCTTCACTAGCAATACCAATTAGACGAACTAGACAAGCCCAGTCAGCACATCCTTTCGTTGTCAACCTCGAAAGATGTCGAACAGAACTTTATCAAGACTCCTTCATCCATAGAACGGCTAGGCTCTGGAATTCATTGATGGAAGTATTCTCAACAACATATAATCTCCAAAAGTTCAAAAAAAATTCCAATACCTACCTCCTGTCCCTATCCTCCCTAGGAACGCACGATGTTCTTTGAACATTATAGGGATTCCCTTTCGTGCGCTCCAAGCGATAAAAAAAATTGATTCAAATCAACGGCAAGATTTGGTTGAATGAACACAGACTATTTTGTTTCTATAATACAATATCTCCGCTCTGCTGAACTCATTCTGTCGATTGAAATGATCATGTAATTTCATTCAACTGACAAAATTTTCAGTTTTCCATAAGGTGAATAATTTGAAATAACAATATTTATATCCTGAATATAACAAAATATTGTTTCCATCCAATGACAAATCTCATTCGATCAACAAATTTTTATTTAGAATTGACAAATGATTTTGTTGAATAATATTGTTTAATTTCGCAATTACTGATAAACTTCAAAACTAAGAGAAATGAGAGTTTGATTTTCTTAGTTGAATCAACACTATCAGTGTGCAAGCATCATCAGAACTTCTAGGACAGCTGATATAGATTTGGTTAGTAGTAAAACAATGTACACGGAAAACAAATATTGTTTGAATCAACAAATAATCTGTAAATTCAACAAAATCTGAGTGTCATATATCCACGATATAATATTTTGTTACTGCAACACATTTTTTTGTCAGTTTCAACTCATAATTCGTTTGATATAATTCATTATTGATTCAAATCAACGTCAACGTTGTGAATCTTTCTCGTTCGTTTTTAATTAAGATAGTAATTTTAATCTTTTCATTATTAATTTTAAGCGTGTAATGTATGTGATAATAATTTTGTTGGTGCAACAAATCTTTTTTTTCTGTGTAATGATATCATCAGAAAAACAAAAAGAGTTCTATCAATGTATTCAGACGGCAGTGAATTATTTCTAGGCAGTTATTCCTCTCGTTTGGCCCCTACACAGGAACTGTTCGAGAAGATAATAGAATAGAATGGACAGAGTGTGCGACAAAGTATGGGCGGCACTGCGCTCTCAAAAGTCGACTCCCGTCATGGTGAATTTGATTATTTCACTCCCTATGCCTATTCAGTATTCATTCATCGAGACTGCGCCACATTCTTTGTAATTTATTATTCAACTAGGCCACCATGAGAGCAAGAAACTGGGATTTCTGTTAAACGAATGGAAAATGTGATATTAAAATACACTCACCAGCAAAAAAACCGGCCAGAGAATAATTTAGCCAAGTTGAATATCCTGAGATTTTTTTCCACCACTAGCTACAGAACCTACCACTATTTACTCCCTTCCAAGGCGTAATAGTATATTATGTAACAAGTGTTATAAACGTAATTTTAGTAACGAGTATTTTAGGCACGAGCGCAGCAGAGCGGAGCAATATATATGAGAAGATACAAATGGTTTGAGAAAGTATATATGAACACGAAAAAGATATTCATTATAAACAAGGAAAATAGGCGTTTATATTTCACCCTATAATGCAGAATTATTTTCAGTGAAAGGAAAAAAGGCGACTTAATATCGAGAAAATGTTATGATATTTCGAAGTAAGGCGATTATTGATGTGAAATTTTGAGCAATATAAACTGGTACAGGCTGTTGTATATACTGATAGCAACAATTAGACCTATACGTTGCCATGGAAACATTCAAAGTAATGCTTCTTGGCATTACTATCAGCAACCTATAACCTCTCTTGGGAAAATCACGTGAGATCAATTGCTAAAAGTGCATCTCAAAAACTTGGTATTCTGTTTCGGGCCAGTAGCTATTTCACTTCCAGTCAGCTGCTCATGATCTATAAGGCACAGATCCGACCTGTCCTGGAATACTGTTCCCATATTTGGAGTACAGCACCCAAACATACCCTAAAACTGTTCGATTCTGTCCAAAAAAGAGCAATTTGTCTCATGGGTGATGCCTCATTCACTTCTCTGGAACACTGTAGAAAAGTTGTCTATCTGGCTCTATTTTATAGATATTTTCATGGACAATGCTTCTCTGAAATATCAACAATTGTTCCTCCCTTGGAAGTCCCCGCGAGATTAACCCGTCGAGTTGAGGCTTCGCACCCCTTCGTGGTCACTTTGGACACTTGGAGACCTGATGCAGAACATCTCTTTCCAGAGACTCGTTCATCCAACGAATAGCGAGGCTCTGGAACACATTGCCAAGGGAGGTGTTCCCCGAGGCATATAACCTACAGAAATTTAAGAAGAACACCAATTCCTACCTTATTTTCCTTGGTTCTCACGATGTTCTCTGAACATTACAGGATATCCCCTTTCGTGGAAACCAGAACATAAAAAAACTATCTGTCTATTCAATTTAATTATATTTTTGGATGTATGACAATGTGATATTCATCATAAAGGACGTTGAAAAAAATTCTGAATTGAGAAAATCCAATCACGAATCTGTGATTTGAGGTCTAAAACTCTTTCCTGGTCTGATTCAAATAAAAGAAAGATCGAATAGGTATAGAGGTCTACAAATGGTCACAGTTGTGACAGATATCAATCAACGGTATTGAGTCACTGTATATCAAACATGGATATCGCGCCATCTACTGATCAATTCCTCAACATTTGTGATTTCCCGCTCCAGTGAAGAAAGAATTCTTGTTTTTGATGCGACTTTACAGAGAGCTTCAGTTTAGTGGTTTCTGTAGTTTAAGGTGAGAGTGGTTTGTAGTTATCAGACCTACTAATAGATGGCAAGGTCTGAAGTAATAATTTTAGTTCCAAAATAAATTTTGAAATTGCGGTTCAACATTGCCAGTTTCACTTCACACTGGCAAACATCTGGCAACAACCTCTTCATCTCAAAAGTTTGCGCATCAATTTCTGGAATTTGTAGGTCATTATATTGATACGGAAAAACTTGAGGTGATCTTATGACTCACAAAAAAAAAGAAATATATATCCAGTTAGGAAGAAATGATTTTACAGTATGTCGTATAAAGCACACAACAAAAATTTGATTAATTCCTCAGCATGCGTTCGGAATTTTCCAAAAATGTGTTTACTATAGAATATCTCAAATGCAATAACACTTTCGTGGTACTGTCAATACGCATTATATAGTAATAATAATAATAACTTCCCAAACATATTTTTCTGGAAAATTCGATACCGCTTACATAGTCGTCTCAAGTTAATTATCATAACATTGACATAATTGATAAAGAGTTCAACCTATCATCACATAACAATAACACTCATATGATATATAAATTATTGAAACTTATATCGAATAAACATTCAAACGCAAATTATAGCAGTGAAGTGATTATTCGAAGGTATTTAATTATGAATCGAATTTTCTGTTTCGTTACGTTTATCAGTTTGGCTGGAATATTATCCTGTGAGGGTAAGATAATGAAATAATGTCATAATATATACAGGGTGATCCAAAAAGTCATGTACACAATTGAGGGGGGAGATTATTTCAGGACTCAAAGTAATTACATGTCTGCAATCACTTCATTTTAAGGTTGTAGGCCCAAGGGCGTAGATATAGGGGGTGAAAGGGGGTAAGACCCTCTTCCTCCCAGAACCATATTGAAGAACTCAAAATATTACGAGCTCCTAACTTAAACAACAGAAATTAGATCAGCGTACTAACTATCAACTACTTTGGAATCTGAATTAGAACTATATATAGAGAAATGAGAGGAGTGAGCTCTTAAGATATTATATGTATTGAAAATTGAAATTGCCACTGTTAGAGTAGGGCCCTGTGATGAAGGGAAAAGTCTATGAATTCTTATTGATAGTAAGCTGAGATTCAAGGCACTGGTTAAATCTATTGTTAGTAAGTGTTATGGTGAATTCATGCACGCCTCAACTTAGTCTTAACTTAACTCAACCCTAACTTTAAGTTGTGAGCCGTTTTGACCGATGATGAATAGTTTCGACACAAAAAAATCCTAAAGTTGAAAAATCTTTTTGAACACCCTATATCTCTGTAATGATTCCTGCTAGACCCCAAGTGTGATGCATTGATGAAATCAGCTCTTCGAGAAAAATCTAAAAACGCAATAAAATACAGGGTGTTGAAATAACAAAGATGATGCTACTTTTTGGTAAAAGTGGCAACGGTGCTTCGCTGAAAATATTTTGAATCGTTAGATCACAAACGCTTATCAGAGTAACCAAATTTTCAGGATAATCCAATGTACCGTTTTCCGTATACGTCTAAGGTACCATCGACCGTGGGCCACCCTGTATACATAACATGATCAAATAAATGAAATAAAATGGAATGAAATGAAATGAAATTGATCTTCCAATTCCTAGCACAAACAAACTTTGGAGCACAGACAGCAGAATGCACAGATGGACAAACCAAAATGTTAGATTGCAACTATTGCACTTGCATGGGAAGACACTGGGGTTGCACCGAAATGGCTTGTCCACCCAACAATTACAACAATCAAGGTAAAGTTAGTAAAGTACGGCACAAGAAAATATTATCTATCACTATGGTGTTGTTTTTGAGATTTAGGTCTTAGATTGAAGAGATAGTAATTTTCCTAGCAAGTGCGGAAAGTAATACTTTCCCGCACGCGAATGCCGTGAACCCGAACCACGCGAAACGGAGTCCGGCAAGGAGTCGAGTGCGGGAAAGACACTTTCCGCTTGAGTTAGGAACTATATTTTCTCTACAAGCGTAGGAAATTGATTGATTTGTTCAATCAATTATTCCTGCAAATAGGAACAACTAACAATAGTAATATATTCTCTATCTTCTGATAAATAGTGATATATCTATTGTGTGTTCCGTTTGAAGCATTATGTAGGTAAGCTTATTGCGGTAGCCAGCATGCCCATAGTGTTTGGCCTCTAGGTTTCAGACATTTCTAGGAAATGAGCCAAAGATACTTCTTCTTTATTTGGTGTTTTCACTTTTTTACTATTGCACCATTCAATAAATCCCTTGTATTGCTTCTCATACTTCGTTGACAATAACTAATCTGTAGCGCATCTGTGGTTGGAAGTTTTTCATCGCGATTCCACTGAATCGAAAATGACAGTAACGCTCTGTCTGTCACTCTGAGAATTACACTAACTGATTTGTGTTTTGATTGACATGGAAACAATTGTTGCCCACATCAGATCAATTAAAGGCTATGGGGGGATTTATATAACAATCAATTATTATTTTTCAATATTTTCTCATTGTCACAATGAATAGTGCAACACTCATTCATGGGATAATCATGTCAGATCAATCGCAAAAGCTGCTTTACACCTCAACAGCTTCTCATGATTTATAAAGCGCAGATACCTACGGCCTGTTCCAGAATACTATTCCCACATATGGGGTTCAGCACCAAAACATACGCTAATACTCTCAGATTCCATCCAGAGAAGAGCCATTTGCCTGGTGGGTGACGCCACACTCACTCACTCTCTGACATTATTGGAACACCGTAGAAAGGTCGGCGACCTTTCACTTTTCTATCGATACTTCCACGGAAAATGTTCTTCAGAAGTGTCTGCTATTATCCCTCCACTAGCAAGACCAGTCAGACGAACTAGATAAGCCCAGTCAGCACATCCTTTCGTTGTCAACCTCGAAAGATGTCGAACAGCACTTTATCAAAACTTCTTCATCCATAGGCTAGGCTCTGAAATTCATTGCCTGAGGAAGTATTCCCAACAACATATAATCTCCAGCAGTTCGAAAAAAATTCCAATACCTACCTCCTGTTCCTATCCTCCCTAGGAACGCACGATGTTTTTCGAACATCATAGGGATTTCCTGTCATGCGCTCCAAACGATAAAAAAAAGTTTGTACAAACTTACTAAATAGTGCAACAAAAAAAAACACCACATATTTTGCGAGAATATTTTATGAATGTTTTTCCTATACCCTAGTGTGCTTTGTTGATTCAATTAGATATTTCGTTAATTCAAGAGAAACTGTTTTTTCATCCGATAAATTGTTTCGTTGAACCAAATTCAGTATTAATTCGGGAATTTTCTGAAATTTCACATCAATAGAATAAACTGATTTACGAAAAGTCAGGCTTCATGTACATAATAAATTCGAGGCAGGCATAGAGGCGAGAGTTTAACTTGATGTAGAATGAAAAAAATATTTCGTTGGTATATTACATATTATTTCGTTGCTCTATTCAAGCAAATGATCCGTTATTGTTTCAAAGATATATTCTCATCAAAATGATCATTATTTGATCAAATCAACGAAATGTTTATAATTGAGATAACATCGACATCATTTTGCATCGACATAATTTGTTTTTGAAAACAACATATATTTTGTTGGTGGGATTGATATTATACTGTTGATTCAATTAGACTACATTCTTGATTTAAACAAGCTACTTCCATAAAATCATCATGTATTTGGTTGATTCTTCGAAAAATTGCTCAATTCAACGAAAATAATCCAAACATAAATAATGTGTTGATGCAACAAATCCTTTTTTTCCGTGTAGCTAGTGGTGGAAAAAATGTATTTCTTGAATTTCTCTAATCAGTTGAAACGATGTCTCTAGAGAACGGTGATATTCATCGACATCAAACAAGTATAATATGATATGAATGAATTTTTGACATTTTTCAGGCAATAGGACTCAACATTATCAGCAGCAGCAGCAGCAGCAGCAGCAGCAACAAGAGTGCAGAGACGGTGAATCAAGACCTTCTGGAGAATGCAACAGCTGTTGGTGCAGAAATGGAAGATGGACGTGTACTCAGAGGCAATGTCATCCTAATTCCACTCCAAGAAATGGTAGGTTTATATACTAATAAATAGAGAAGATTTGTTTGTTTGTTCGTTTGTATTGAATAGGTTCCGAAACTATTTCACCGATGAAGCTGAAAATTGTTGGAGTGTTAGCGTAGAACCAGGAGACTCACATAAAATACTTTTTATTCTGGTTGAAATACAATATGGCGGCATTTGTGATTTTGATTCGATTCCATTTAAAATTAGTATCTGAGAGTTTTCAGGGTTGGAGATAATGATTCTTCCGTCAAGATTATAATATTATAAAGGAGAAAGACTTGTTTGTTTGTATTGAATAGGCGCCGAAACTGTTTTACCGATGTAGCTGAAAATTGGTGAAGTGGTAGCTTAGAACCTGAAGACGCACATAGGATACTTTTTATCTCGGTAGAAATTCAAGATGGCGGATTCAATATGGCGGATTTTGTGATTTTGATTCGATTCTATTTAAAATTAGTATCTGAGAGTTCTCGGGATTGAATATTATAGTTCTTTCGTCAAAATTCGAGATGGCGGATCCAATATGGTGGACGAGTTTTGTAATTATGGTTCGATTCTATTCAAAATTGATATCGGGGGGTTTTCGGGGCCAGAGACTATGATTCCCTCGTGGAAATTTGGAAATTCAAGATGGCGGATCCAATGTGGCGAAAAAGTTTTGTAATTATAATCCGATTCAATTCAAAATTGGTATGTAGAGATTTTCGGAATAGGAGATTATGATTCCTGCGTCAAAATTAGGAAATTCAAGATGACGGATCCAATATGGCGGATGAGTTTTTCAATTCTGATTTGATTCTATTCAAAATTGGTATCTGAGAGTTTTCGGAAACGAAGATTATGAATGGCCGATTCAACTACGGAATAGCCACAATTCTTAACGTGGAATGGAATGTTGAATAAATACAAAAATCTCAAACTCATTTCCACGTAATGTTCATGAACAACAATGGTAGATTTCGGGAGAAAACAACTACTTTTCTGGCTGATCTATGCATCGACTCGTATAAACGAATACTGATACAAGTGATTCTTTCCTGAATGCTGATTCAGCCAGACGACGTTCTATACACTTACAGACCGGTTTCGAGCTCTTTGACACTTGATTTTCGTTTAGCTAGGCTACGCTTAGTCTGCGGTCTTAGGACTGCTGGCTGAAGACTGTCCTGCACTGATGACAGTCAGAGAGCTCTGAACCGGTCTGTAGGTGTCTAGCGTGGCCTGGATAAATCGAAATCAATATAGGCATTCAGGAAAAAATCACTTGTATCAGTAGTCGTTTATACGAGTCGATGCAAAGATTTCGGGAGGATGTAATTCAATGTTATTGATTTATTTATTTAAAAATCTGCATGTTTCAGTTTACCCTGAACGTGAATGTGCGGACGGTGACACAAAAATGCTAGATTGCAATCAGTGTCATTGCAACAATGGTAGATGGGCCTGTACCAAGAGAGGATGCCTGACCAATAGTCAAAGACAAGGTAATGGGGTAGTCGAAAAAGAAGGGATTTTTATTTTACTTGATTATTTGGGATTTTTTCTCCTTGTTTATGTGGAATAATAGTTATTTATTATACAAGGGAAAAAAGTAGTAGATTTTAGCTCCAGGTTGTGTTGTCTCCCGACGCGTAGCGGAGGGAGACAAAAAACCGTGAGCTAAAATCTAATATTTTTCCCGTGTATAATACACTATTTTTTTCTGTGACAGAAGGAAGGACGAATCAATATTGAGAAGATATTACATTATTTCGAAATCTGAAAATTATCGACGTGAAATTTCAAGTTTTTAACAGTAGTGACACCTGCGTTTTATAGGCATCTTCATCATTCTTTTGAAGTAATCAAATATCTGATGTCACTTCTGTCAGTTCAATTCTGTGATTTGATTTTAAAAAATTGCGAATTCAGTAGTTGTTTAGTAATATACGAAACCGCGAAGTCGAATGGAAGATAAAAGGACTTGCAGTTCTTTCTCGGAGACGGTATTATTGACTCATTTTTCGGAACTATAGCACAACAAAAGCCATTAACAGAGTATATATATGTGATATATATCCGGGAAAAAAGTTCTCACTTTTTTCCCACGGGAAAAAAGTAATTTATGAAAAGTGACATTTTATAACCTGCCAACAGAGATGAAATGCCAAACTTTTTTCCCGTCACAGAAAAAAAATATATATGAGTATTATTTCAATATATGTGTAGTATGCAAATGCAGAATGCAAAATATTTTTCTTCGAAAATGTATGTTACTTCAGTGAATTCAAAAAAGGGATATTGAAAAAGATGAGACTAACGGAACTGTCAATTTCAACTTGATAACGTAACTGTTGCACTCCACTGGGTATTACGAATTTCATAGAAAAATCACGCTATAATTATTGCTTCGTCTTACGGACTCGGAATTTTATCAGAGGCAGTTTTTTCGTCGTCTCGTGTAATTATAAGTAGAAATAATCATAATATCATTTGATGAGAAGAAGAATTTTATTATACCCACAAATCATTCTGGGTGGCTGAAAATGATTTTTATATTCGGAACTTTCTGAAGTGATTTTTCTGGAGTTTTTCAAATGGAATACCCAATGTTTTTTGACCATTTGATATGAAACCTAATCACGAACCTATTTTCTCCCAATACCCATATTGATATTCGTAACCATCTTTAATTATTGAACTAGGTTGCCCATTTTCATCGATACACATTCTCATTTGTTATTTGAAGATCAAGTCCAATTAATAATTCAGTAAACCAGTGAAATTGAAAGAATTGATTCCAGAATGAACGCTAACAAAAAAAAATCGATATGCATGTTATTCACAAAGTAAAACAGAACAAAATGTCCATATCTCAAATATCCCATAAATTCATGGCATATTCAGAACAAAACCAGAATAATTGAGAAATGGAAATTGTTCCTTCTTTACTTTGTAAATAACTAGCATAATCATGAACGATTTGTGATTGTTTTGATTCTGGTATCAATTATTTCATTAACATTACTAAATTATTGATTGAACTTTTGATGTTTTAATAACAGATAAGAATGTGTATCGACGAAAATGACCAATAATTGGAATATGGTTACGAATATCTATATGAATGTTGGGATGAAATAACTTCGTGTTTTGATTTCACACCAAATAGTCAAAAAGTATATGGGGTGTTCCATTTGAAAAACTCGAGAAAAATCACTTCGAATAGTTCCGAAATGATAAATCATTTTCGGCAATCCTGTATGATTTGGGAGCACGAAGATTTATCAGAAATATCACACATCTTTCCATCAAATGAAATTGAGATTATTGTCTCTCAAATTTCATAATTGTGACGACAGTGAGTGTTTCGGTATGCATCTGCGAATTACAATTATTTCGACAAGAAAAATCATAACTTTGCCTTGATCGAGATATAGTCCACAATATTATAGGAGTCGATGGAGGTTGAACAAATGCTTGATGAAATGTGCTAATGTACAGGGCCATCCAAAAAACGAAACCTATCATAAAATTTCAGCAATCGAGTTTCGAAGCACTAATGCACCACCCTGTATATAGGCCATATTAGGCGACCCATATGGCTTGTTTGTTCGTGTTTGCTCCATCAGCTGAACTTGAATTGTTTCTATGACTGAACAAAGAGACCTATAAAAACAATGTTCGAAAAACTCCTCGCACATCTGAAAACTTGTCGATGCATTGAAATAGTTATTTTCCTAACAAGTGCGCAAAGTGTTAATGATAGAAAATTAAATCATTTGTTCCTAATATTTATATGGAGGTGGAATACAAATATCGGAAAGAACGGCTGAAAAGTAAAAGGGATAACGGCATCTTATCATACAATAGTCAACAGCAACTAAAATGAATATAAATGTTCCATACCAGTGAGATTTTTGGGTAGTTTTACATATCCGCTCGCCGTGCAGATAACACCCATATCCGCACTGAGTGCGAAAAAGTATTACTTTGCGCACGCGAATGAGTGCGAAAAAGTACTACTTTGCGCACGCTCGTAGGAAAAAACGATTTTGATAGTGGTGAAATAATGTAAATTCCTTGTTTTACAGGTAGTTCTCAACGCCAGCAACGCCAATGTATTGCAGGAGATAGAAAAATGGAAGATTGCAATGAGTGCCATTGTGACAATGGTTTATGGGCTTGTGACGCAAGGGCATGTCCTGACAATAACCAACGACAAGGTATACAGATAGTTTTGATTTTCACCATGCCTCCATCAGCTTTATTTTGATTGATTGATTGAGCATAATTAGATAGTTTTGTTTCTTCACCAAAATTTCAAATGTATGTACGTTTTTATTCCTTCAAATAACTTCAAGCAATGCTTTTTATATCCAGAGCAACATCACTGTCTTGCATCAAATACTTGGTTGATTAGTTACATCCAGAGGGACGGGTGTGATTTTGACCCCCTTATCGTCGAATCAAATTGAAACTTCGAATAATTATCAAGAACCGATAACATTATTATATATATCAAACTTTATTAGCACAGTGCTCTTCATTACAGTTAAATCTACAATAAAATACAATAAGTCAATAAATAAAAACATAGAAATATAGAACTAAGACACATACACATGAATTACGTCACATATTTTAATATAAGGGTAATTAACAGATTTCTCCTTTCTCAATTGATCTATCAATAATTTTCTTTCACAAATAACACACACGATTCTTTAAAAATATCTAGTGACACACATCTTTTCATTCCACAGGGCAAATTATTGAACAATACCAGACCTTTTGTATATAAAGTATCACAGACAATATTTCCTGAATTTATATAGAAATCATTCGCTGCTTGCCTTCTGGTATTGTGACAATGTACATCTTGAACATAATATAGCTCACTTGATAAATACAAAGGCAACATGTTATTTTTCAATTTATAAACAAAAATTAGTGTATTATATGAAAACTCTTTGCTTGATATTCATTAATTGCAATGTGTTCAGCATTGTTGTGACTGGTGTGCGTCTTTTACAACCCAAGATAGCTCTCTTTGCACGATTTTGGACTTTTTGCAGTGTATTAATCGTTCGTTACTCAAGAAACTCAGTAAAGTACCACAATAATCAATATGAGGTGAAATTATTGACTTGTAAATTGTTAATTTCGTGAAATGAGATATTTTATCACCAAGCCTGTACATGAAACCTATTTTTCGCGCAATTTTCTTTTTAATGTATTCACAATGACTGTTAAAATTCAGTTGATTATCAATGATCACTCCCAAATACTTGAACATTTTCACTTCTTCAATGATTTCTCCGTTTATCAGAATATTGAATTTTATTTTATTTTCCTGGATCATTTTTGAATTTGCTTTCGAAGATATAATCATGAATTTCGTCTTTGTAACATTAATTTTGAGTCCATTGTCACAGATCCAGGTGAATATATTCTCAAGATCTTCATTCAAGAATTTCTCCACATCCTCTTTCTTGCCAGAGAAGTAAAGCAAGGTATCATCCGCATATAGTTTCAGCTTACAATTCTGAACGTGATGTATAATATGAGGCGCCGTTTGGTTCATAATTATTTTTTTCGATATATAGACATTTTAACTCAAAATATAGAAAAAATCCTATATAATATACGAACTTATCAATATTATATGCAAAATTTCTTATATCGTGTGAAAAATGTTCTATATATTTGAGTGCGACGAAATTTCAATATATATTAGTATGCCTCACGCCGTTTGGTTCATAATTATTATTTGTAATATATAAAATTTTTACTGAATTTATATAGAAAAAAGTCTATATCAAATGCACAAATTTTATATATGACGAAATCTTTATATATTTGCGTGTCAGGAAAGTCTATATTTGCGCGTCGCGAAAGTTTATATTTGGTTGTACCAGTGTGTGCAGAAATAGACTTTCGGGTTCCAGGGTTTACCGATAGGTGGCTGAACGCGGCTGGACGTCAGCACAGAATGAGGTTAGAGGATCTGGCAACACTGATATTATTATATTCTGGTTGTGTCCAAAATACTCATCTGCCTAGAATCGAGAAGAAATGGAGAAGAATGAGAATACATTTTTCTATTTTACATAATCTTTAACCTCACAATTTTTTTTTTCGAGTAAAAATGTCATTCCCAACGGTTTCAGTGGAAGTTTCTCAATGAAATTGTTGAATGTCACGATAATGTGGTGAATCTACTTTCTCAAGGAGATTCTTCAAGAGCCTCATCTCAAGCTCAGTGGAAAATTGAGGACTACTGTAGGTTGTTGAACATATTCATTGATAATATACTGGCCTGTGAAAGGTTGAAACAGTTATTATCATATCAGTTTACAATATATACTGTTTGATATTTATGGTCAAATTGAGCATGTTCTCAACACTGTTGATTCGCAGGACCGAACCTATGTATATTTTACTTCATCAACTAGCACTAACAGTGTTGGTCCCCCGAAGTATGATATTTCAAAGCAACAATTAAGGATTTTAAGAACATCAGGTCTGAGACCGGTATGAAGCTCGCTGCCTAAGCTGGCTGCTAAAATTTCCGAACTTACCCAACAGATAATACCAGTGGCGGGCGATCATTTTATTCAATAAAAATGTAATTTCACTAAAATGAATCAATTACCTACATGGAAGCTTCATGATCTGATTACTCAAATTGAATAGAATTTGGAAAACATCAATACCTCGTATTATGTTGATTTCACACTGGTTAAAATGTTCTCCAGAAAGATTCACCTGCTCAGCCCGAAAAAAAATCTTTCTCGATCATCTTCATTCCATATAATCAGATTCAATATTTCGATCAAACCACATTAAAAATTTCAGAGATCATTATACTGTTAATAATGATATTGTCACACCTGTGACTAGTGCTCGGTCTAGGGCGTAGCTTTAGGGGTAGTTTTATGCATTCATGACTTGGAAATAACGAGGCAATTACGTAAAATGTAAAACAGTTTATTTGAATTAAATGAACCAAAGGGGAAATACTAGAATGAACAGTTTATTTGAATTAAATGAACCAAAGGGAAAATACTGGAATGACCACAAAGTATGAACAAAATATGAAAGAAATACTATCTGACACAAGGGTTAATCACCAGGGTAGAAAGGTGTGAAACCACGACCTCATCGTTGGGCACGACAAGTACGACTGTCCCTCTGATTGATTTCCCTACTCCTCAGGTTAAATATAATTATTGATGATCAATGCAGTATCAGCAAGCAAGTACAATGCCCGCAGGGAATGAACTCGCCTAGCTGAGACTGCATATCGGAAATGGAAGCGAAATATGAATTTAACAAATAATATCTATCGTGTTGAATAAAATGATTTTAGGAATTGATTTTATATTTGGTTCGTGAAATCAATCAGGTTATGGGATTTTTCCTCAAGCTTGACAATATGACAACATTCAAAATTTTTGTAATTCATAATGAAATGAAGAAAAACTCGAATTCAATTTAAATATTCGGAGATTGTACTAAGTATTCTAGCACATTCATTAAATCTTGGAAAATCGGGAACTATCATTTTAACTCGATTTTTTGAAAAAAAATCGTTTTCCCCCGAAATGCACCAAACTGTCAAACTGAAACTAGCGCAGAATTCTTCTACTACATCCATAAAATCTCATTCTGCAAGAAAATCCACTTGCTCAGCATGTGGAAAATGGGAAACTACCATTTTCACTCGATTTTCAGAAAAAAAATCATTTTCTCCGAAACGCACAAGACTGTCAAACTGAATAAACTAGCGCAGAAGTCTTCTACTACATCCATAAAATCTCATTCTGCAAGAAAATCCACTTGCTCAGCATGTGGAAAATGGGAAACTATCATTTTCACTCGATTTTTAGAAAAAAAATCATTTTCTCCGAAACGCACACCAGACTGTCAAACTGAAACTAGCGCAAGTCTTCTACTACATCCATAAAATGTCATTCTGCAAGAAAATCCACTTGCTCAGCCTGTGGAAAATGGGAAACTATCATTTCCACTCGATTTTCGGACAAAAATCGTTTTCTCTGAAACGCACCAGATGTAGAATGAAGGATCATCTGAAACCGTTTGAAGCCATTCAAAGTTCCAGGGATAATTTTGAGGAATGTGAATTCTTCTACATATTTCATATTCATATCCATTTCATATTTATTCCATATTCATTTTGCAATATTTTTTGGAATTTCTCTCCTCGTCTCTAAAAAAATATATATATTATGAGTGATCTGTAATAAGGAGAGTATTGAATACTCTCCCGGAATGTCGCAATGCGCTTAAAACTCAACTTTCAGGAACCTGGAAGACAAATGTAATGATTGTCAGTGACATTTCGTTTTGAAAAATATGGAAAATATCTTAGCTTTGGACGTTTCGGGAACGAATCTGTTCTGCTTGTTTTCAACAAAATGGAGGTTTACTTTTTCTTATTTCTCAGCCGTGTGCGGATTGTTTGACAATTTAATATCTATTATTGGCACTTCACAATGAGAACTCCATAGACGATAGTGTGCTTTCGGAATTAATTGATCTTGAATTCACCATTTACCATTTACATTCCGGGAGACTAGGTGTTCAATACTCTACTTATTACAGATCACTTATAATATATATTTTTTTAAAGACGAGGAGAGAAAACCCAAAAAATATTGCAAAATAAATACTTTTTTCTACATTCATGCAAAAAACAGAACTTTATTGAACTATATTTAGTGGAAAAAGAAGTTCTTTATTGCACTTAGTGCAATAAAGTTTTTATTGCACTCATCTGTCATTCTACTTCAACGTGCTGTCATCATGACAAACATTTTCTATAATGCAACTGTGGTTATAGAAACGTCAGTCAAAAATTAATTCTGACAATTAACAGAATTGTACCTAGTGCCGCACCTCAATAAATCATTTTTTGCTTTTTGCATGAACGTAGAAAAAATGTTGTATGCTACTCGTGCAAAAATTGCACTTGTTGCATAAATAACTATTAATTCCTCGAAGAACATACAGACAGTGTTCATTTCATATTCTTCAGTTTATTTTCCAGGCTGAGCAAGTGGATTTTCTTGAAGAATGAGATTTTATGGATGTAGTATAGAAGACTTCTGCGCTAGTTTCAGTTTAATAGTCTGGTGCGTTTCGGAGAAAACAATTTTTTTTTCAAAAAATCGAGTGAAAATGATAGTTTTCCATTTTC